GGTCAAAATTCTCCATAAAATAATAAAAATGTGCACACTCGGCACCTCAGAAACATACCAAAAGTTACGCGGTAAAAACTGAGCCAATCAGAAAATACGGACGAAATTCGTTAACGAAAATGAAATCCGGACAGAAAAGTCATTCAAACTTCACCGTTCTGAAAATTGAGAAAGGCGAAATGTGCCTTACCTTGCGTACAACACTTTCTCGAACAGTCTCGTCGGACGAAAACAGCCCGGCGTCGCCCGAAATCAACTTTTCCAAAATTGCCCTCGACCTTCTCTCTCCTCAGCTGAATTTAGATATTTATTTTGATTTTCTCTCTCTTCAAAATGAGCTGATTTCAGCTAAATAATACAGTGATCGGCCCGGCTGATCGCACGATCGTCCTGGACGATCTGAACAAATTCCACATCATCCTGGGACGATTTCGCAGGACAATAATTAATTTCCAGGACGATTTGCTCTCTGACTTTTGCCATACACTGATCGTCTTGGGACGATCCCAGATCGGCCCGGACGATCCCTACAGGAAATCATTCCTGTAACTTCTGTACATAATCTGGAATAAAATTACAACTGATCGTCCCGGGACGATCCAGATCGGCCCGGACGATCCTGGAGCAGATTTTGATGTTACATTAGAATAGATGGATATTAGCCTTTTTTAGGATGAGTGATTTGCTTCATCCGCTCATATAGGCATTGCTAGATGTGTTCAACTAAGGAATGATAGGAACAGGAAAGTGGTTGCAACTCCATTCACTACTGGTGACATGAAAAATAAGAAAGAAAACTTGCCACCCAATAAGAAGAGGATATAGCCTACTCATGCTCCTACTCATGCTCCTGCTCCTACTACTTCTAAAAAAAATAAGATAAAGCCAACTACATCTAAAGCAACAAGGCCTGCTCCTAATATTATTCATGAAATTGATGAATAAAAAATAATAGAAATGTGACATGCACCATAAATATTAGAGTATCCTGGTCGAGTATTAATAAATGAAGAAAAATGGATTTTCATCAATAATTATCTAAAATAGTTCAAGGATAAGTGAGTACTTAACAATACCGATCTTTCTATTCATTTATTTAGTTATTGTACTGAATAATACCGAGCAATACCGAGCATTGTAATTCATTTATTAAGTTGTTATATCGAATAGTACCAAGCAATACTGAGAATTATAACTCAGTACTGCTCGATACAGAGCTTGTATCGAGTAGTAACTTCTAATACCTAGTTGTACCGACTATAAGAAACATACTCGGTACTAATCGGTAAATTACGTTCATCGATGCTTGTAGGCCTTTATATGTATTCTTCTATTCTAATGAATATTTTTTGAATTAACCAAAGGCGATGTTATTTTCTTTTCTGGGAATGTAATTCCTTACATAAGCCAAATGGATGAGCTATTATTATTAGATGAGCTTGATAATAATCACGTTGATGCATTTGATATTTTATTAGTCATGAATAATGAACTTTGCCTAGGCCTCAACCAACCTTTTATCTTTATTTATAGTTTTCATTAGGTCAGTAACCATTACTAATTTCTATTTATTGTTTTAACCATATTTCAACTGAACACCAATTTTACTTATTCCAAGGTTATTACCATCACATAGATCAACCGGACACAACTCCATTCATCTTGCATATCACCAGAATTGCTATTATGAATATAAATATGATCATTGTTCCCATAATACATAAAAAAACATTGGACACTCATAGTCGGCAATCTAAGGAACAAGATATGGGAATTTTTTTATTCATTACCCAAAGCCACTCACAAGTTCATACTCCCTAAAGTTGTAAATGTTACTCATATTTTCTATTTATATAAGGAGTGATGATATTAAATATTAAATATAATTACATTTTCAGATATCTTATTTATACGAGGAAACATAAAATGCTTTTGACGATGACATACGGAAGTGGCCCATCCAAATAATTTTAAACTTATCAACACAAGATAACAGCACCGATTGTGGCATGTATGTTTGTAAATATATGAAAATTATTATCCAACAAGAATCTATTCAATGGGATGTTCATAAGAACCGACAAGCTAGTATGCCTATATTCAGGATTGAATTTGTATATGCCCTTTTATGTATTAATATGAAATAAACATTTAAATATAAGACGTAATGCATATTTAGCAATATTTGTATTTGATTTCATATACATTATAATAGTTGCAATAGTTGATTAATCTGTGAATATATTTAGGAAAAATAAATATGTCACTTCTCTGTATAGACAAATACTAATAAGATACAATCAATACCGAGTAATACCGATTGGTACCGAGTACTCAACTGTCAATCATTCACATACAAATTATGATACGCCGATACCTAGTCCAACATAATAAAATGAACATGTTCACGAGATACAATTAATACCGAGTAATATCGAGTTATACTTAGTAATATAGAATTCTCAAGATTGTCCTATTCTTGCAAAAGTTGCATACACCAAGAGCACTCCAACATTAAATTAAACTTTATAAAAAATATTTCTCATTAAAGATAAAAACTGAGTAATACCAATTTATACCGAGTAATACATAATTCTCAAAATTGTATCATTCATTGCAAAAGTTGCATACACCATAAGCACTGCAACATTAAATTAAATTCTATAGGAAAATATTTCTTGTTAAAGATAAACATCGAGTAATACCGAGTAATATCGAGTTATACTGAGTTATACCGAGTAATGCATAATTCTCAAAATTGTACTATTCATTGCAAAAGTTGCATACACCATGAGCACTATAACATTAAATTGAACTTTATAAGAAAATATTTCTCATTAAAGATAAAACCCTAATAATATTAAGTAATACCGAGCAGTTACATAAATGACGACTGACTCCCTATTTCTCTAGGTGTAAATTGTATGCTTGTAGGAGGATTCCTCTCTGTGGGCTTAAATTTTTTTCTCTTCAACTTTTCCCAGTAATCCTTCAATCTAGCATTAGAGATGCCCTTTGACCAACACTTCACAGGATCTTTAATACTTTTATGGCCTCCCCTAGCTATGCATTTATTTTTTTCCCTTTTATAATGAATTGAACATTTCTAACCATTACATTCATCGCATCGAACATACATTATTCTGCCTCCTCATTACCCTGTATTTTTGTGCTAATTTGATATGCAAATGAGCAAATATAATTTCTAAATATCATGTCACTAGATCTCTCATGCGATTGGCACACATTCTTTCCTAAACATGGGATCTTCCGTCCAGCATATAAATCTTTCCGAGCTCTAGTTGACCATCTTGGCAGAAAATATTTTTTAGGGATATTAATAATATCTAATTATCTCAAAACTCTCATGCAATGAGAACATAATAAACTCATCATCTCAAACTTTGCATAGTTGCATTGTATGGTTCCTTCAGAAGAATTAAATATAACAATCCACTTGTGTGACTCAAAAGAGTTGTCTATGTTCTTAAAAGAAAATGTCAATGAGTCAGGCGAAGAATGATCAATGCACATTCCACCTACACCATGTAGAAACTCTTCTTCAAAAAATGAGTACAACTTTCTCGAATAAAATGGATAGTTTGCTTTAATATTGAGCTACTTTTTATATAAGGTTGTATCTCCATTTAAATACATCTAAAATATTCATCTTATTCATTCCTATGCCAAGTCTTCATCACCTTTTCGAACCCTATGAAACAGTCAATGATAGAACTTGTTGCCTTGGAAATGCCATGGCATACATGATTGATAGACTCACAATATTGTGTAGATAAAATGCCAATGTTAAAATAATTTTTGTTGAATGTTGTAGACCACTTTTTCCTAATTTTTTATAGTTCTTTCCACCATTGATGGATCTAGAGGCTCCCTTCTATGATCATTTCATTCCACATTCTCTCAAACTCATCCTCAGAATAACAGTAAAAAATTACATATAAAAAGCAATACCGAGTTTATACCAAGATTATGTACCGAGTATAAATACTGAGTCTCAATACCGATAAACTATACCGAGAATTAATACTGAGATACTCTTTCAGTAGTGGTACAATGATCGGTACTAGGTACTATGAGCTTGGATTTGCTCGGTACCACTAAACAATGAGTTTATACCAAGCGATACCTATCACTACCGAGCAGTACCAATCAGTCAAAATGTCTGCTAATCTCAGTACGAAGATTGGTACTAGGTACTATGATCTTTGATTTGCTCGGAACCGCTGTACAATGAGTTTATACCAAGCGATACCTATAAGTACCGAGCAGTACCGATCAGTGCCGAGTTGACTCGAAACGTTCGTCTCCGTAAAGATCAGTACCCTTCGCGAAATCTTTCTCTGCGCTCTGTAAACCCTAAATTCTGTATAACGTCTATAGAATAATCTGCCAAAATGTTATTAGACCTTTAAAGAAGGCGGGGGTTTTAACTTTTCGCGCCCAATTTATATATACTATGTCGGGCCGACCCAAAATAGTTAAAATACATGCAAATTCTAGAAAATACAACGGGTTTGGGTCAGATTATCGGGTCGCTACGTGGCGCGATTTTACTGGTGTCCGAAGGTAGAGCTACGTCCGGACATCGGACCCAATAAAAATTCCTATAAAGCTCTCCGTCTTTTACATAGATTTTCAAGTAATACTCTTAAATTTGTTTGCCAGTAAAGTAAATTTTAGCGGCTGATAAATTTAGATCCAAAAGTGCTCAATTATTTTTTTAGAAATATTGAATGATGAATCATAAAATATGTAACATAAATTTATATCATTTATCTCTTTTTAACGACTGTCCTATTTTTCTATGAGGATTGAGGATTTATCTTTTCTCGTCTAGTTGTTCCTTTCCATGCTCGTCTTATTCTTTGAAGTTCTTATTATATTTGTGTGAATAAAGTAAAACAACTCATATATTTATTACACATCAACTTGGTTTCGCGCCTCGAATTCGAATATACCCTCACGATTACTGCCCTTTCGTTAATTGAAAGACAAAGCAAAGAGTTGAGAACCCAAGCTTGTGACGTTTGCTTTCATCACATTTATTTCTATCCCTCAAACTTATATAAGAAGCCAGAGCTCGCATCCGCTACAATCTGTATTCCATATCTCTTCTTATCCTTGCTCTTCCCCTCCCTTCCCTTACAAGAAAGGGGGAAGCAAATGGCCGAAGAGGAGATGCAGGAACCGGGCCTTTCTCGGCCGAAGAAGGGCTTATGTCTCCTTCTTATGTTCTTCGCATTGATTCTTTTAACGTCATTCGCCTACTTTCTACTGTTTCCGAACTCCTCTGATACCAACGTCACCTCCTGTCCTGCTTTCTTCAATATTGTTCCGGCAATCAGTGGAAGGGCTCAGAGAGGTATGTATTTTCTTTTTTAATAAAGGTTCTTGGTGTGGATTTTGATGGTTTGAAGGCTTTCAGCCTTTAAGGCTTTTAAAAGGATTTTCTAGTTCTTTATATCGTTTGAGAATCTTCGATTCCTTTTTGTTGGAAAGCCATTAAATTACCAAGTAATGAATCTGTCGTGGCCCATGCGTATTAATTGTTTCGCTATTATATATTTTCCCCAAGAAATTGAAATAGGTATAAATGAAGTTGGGTATTAAAATATTATTTGCTGTATCTTAGTTCATGAAATTTGTGGGGTTCTCATTGAAGTTGGAGGGGGAACTTTTGATGGTCGTTCGTAATGACAGAACCACAATGTATATAAATTTTGCGACCTCAAAATTTTTAGCTTAGTGAGATAACAAAATCTACTAGAACTCAAATTGATGTTTCATTCGAGATGGGCCAACAGAAAATAAATCCATGTTTGTGGCTACTTGAAATCAATTCTAAGTTAATTCAGAATTATTGATGCATAACATTCATGCCCTTATTTCCACTTCATTCAGCTCAAAATGAGCAACACAATATATATTAATTTTATTTCGTTTGAAACATGTTTGGGTCAACCCGTCTTGTTTTAAAATTTACTCAAAATATTATTCAAGACAAAATATTGATTATTAAAAAACTCGATTTAATAAGTCTGATCCTAATCGACTCAAAATTTTAAAAAATTTCCCTTTTAAAAATTAATTTAAAAAATTATTTAATATTACATCCCCTAAATAAGAATTGTTTAAAATTCAAATAAAAATTTTTATGTTTATTTATATACAAAATACACATATGAAAGAATTTATTTCATATTAAGTAAGCTATTATTTGTAATTTATCATTATTATTATTCTCTATTATTAGTAATATTTCTCATATGATTTAAATATTTTTAGGTTTTATATTTAAATAAAAATAATGAAGTGTTAGATATATAAATAGCAAAGAATACTATTAGAAAAAGAATTATAATATAATAAATAACAAGTGGAAAGGGTGACTTCAGCTTCAAAAATTTTTGATTGTTTTACTAAAACATAGGATGTGATTATAAGAAAGGAATTTAGGAGCTAGTTTTTTAGGTTGTATTCCTGTTATGTTAGTTTTTCAAGGCCTGAAGACTGCATCAAACTTCGGATGTTATTTTTTATGCAAAGCTTATTTTCTGTTTTTTTTTATGCTTTAGGTGTCCAATGGAGGCGTTATTTTTTGAGATGTAGAAGTAGTATGCTATCTATTTGATAGAAAGTATATGCTTAAATTGTAACAGAAAGTTAATGTAACATTATAGGCTTTTTCTACTAATTCCGATCACTGAATTAATTTGCTGGGCCCCAACTGTATATTGACTTGTTTTTGCTTATATTTTTAAGCCATTATTCTACTTCAAGAACGGATTTAGTGCCGTTATTAGTAAATATATATTAATAAATTACTCCTATTTCTTGCTTCCAATAATAAAAATTCAATTTGCAACCCTCCAAATTATAAATTAATTATTGTGCCCTCGTTGAGAAAAATTCTAGCTTTTCCATTAATTCTACATATTTTGCATTGAACCATAAACTTCTCAATATCTGGGTTTTGGATGAAACTAATTGAACTCTTTCACTCCCTAGCTTCTATGACTTGATATTGGACTGAAAATTTATAAATAATTAAACTGGTTTGATATTGGCCTTAATTATTTGAACGAGCACTTGGAATTCTAGAATGTCAGTTCTTTATCATATATGCATTTGAAAAACTTGCAAAGTTCCTCTCGGAGGCACAATGATTACATAAATATTTAAATAAGTTCGTATGATGCGTCGGTTAATTGTAGATTTTAGTTTTAATGCATGAATTAATGGAAATTTTTATTTTCATCTCATTAATTTTTTTTCCTTCTGATTTTCAGGTGTATCAGTAGAACAAAAAAATTCCTCGTATATTCAACTTCCGAGAATGTCATTGAATGATAGACATAAATATTTACTGAAAGGTAATTGATGTTTAATTTTTTTTTTTAAATAAGGACGTAATTCAAACAGATTTATTCACTAATAATTATGAATGCATTGTTCTCGTGGATGTTTAAATGTTTAATATTTGCTTGAGCTTATCAGTCTCTAGAAGTATAGAGAAAAGCAATTTTTTGGCAATAGGAGAAAAGCAATTTTAAAAGTATCACTAGCTTCTATTATCTTGTTCTCCAAAATGGATGTAATGCATTCAAATTCCATCCTTTTTTATCTTCATTATATGCCTTGAAATTCTTTGCAGAAAGCTATTCACGTAGTTTTCGTATGAAGCTAGTTGCGTCTTTCAGTATTAAGGATAAGGACAATTGAAGTTGCAAATTTCATTGCAAAAGCGATTTCTCCATATTAATAGTTATAGTCATACAAGATATAGATATTGTAGGTTTCTTATTCCCTTTAATCATCTTTGATGTGAAGCTAGTGTAATAAACTTAGGCTATCAATGCAAAATTGTTACCAAAGTCTTTGCAAAATTTAAGAAGTTAGCTGCTTTACCTTTAGTTTAGCATACAACACACTGTCAGCATTGTTTTGGGTCTGTTTGTGTGTTTCAGTGTTTGGTTTTGGGCTAATGGTTGGATACATGTATGCTCGCAATACAGGACAATGTGATCTTTTTTCTGGACAATGGATAAACGATCCTTCAGGACCTGCTTACACGAACGCTAGCTGCAATTTCATCCAACCACCTCAAAATTGCATGAAAAATGGTCGGCCAGATACAAATTATCTTTACTGGAGATGGAAACCTTATGATTGTGAGTTGCCACCTTTTGATCCATTTAAATTTATGGATGCCATGAAAGATAAATCGATGGCCTTCATTGGGGATTCAATTTTTCGAAACCAAATTCAGTCATTGCTTTGCCTTCTCACCAAGGTTCATATCTAGATATCTTTTGAAATTTATCATTTCATCATAGATTATTTCATTTTTATCATTCTTGATGTAATCTGCCACTTGCTTTCCTACTTAATTTTTTCAACAATTTCATGTAAGTGATATCATGGTGATGTCCAATCATATATCATTCTTTCTTATTTAGTGAACTGAACTAATTAATCTTCTTAGTAGTATTTCTAATTTTGTTGTGCTTCAAAAAAAAAACATATGTAATTAAAGTTACCAGTTTCCCAAATTTCATGAACTGTAACATATTTTCCCTTACGTTAATGATCTCTTTTGTCCACTACTTCTGGTTGACAACATTGAAATTGCTTTGCTATCTGCGATGATAAGTTAATCTAAGGTAACCCATTTCAATGTTAAGTTGGAATAAAAATTAGCTTGATTGGATTGGATTTTTCGTATTATTTTCCATGCTCTTAATATTATTGTTCTCCTAAAAATATTATGCTAACTGTTATGGTGTCAATATTATTATGTTCAAAATAGCTTTGAACAAAACACAAAGGCAAAAAGTCCAAAAAAAAAAAACGACCAAAGCACACAAACTTTATGTTGTATGTTAATATCAGCCTACTTCTACTATCACATAAAGTTTAAATAATCTACTAAGTTTCAAAATATTACATATTATTTGGAGAAAAGGATAAAGACATCCCTTCTTTATATCAATGGCTAAGATAGAATGGAGCCACCTGCTATGATGATTTTGACTAAACGTGGAAAAGAAAATGTTGTTAAGTTATTGTCTCTAACTTTCTCTGCTATAAGAGTTCAAACGAGAGCTTGTCTCTTATATTGTCAAATGTTTCTTTTCTTGTTAGAATCCAAAATAAAAGCACATCTTCCTTTTTGAATTACTCTGAAGGCTTCCTCCTACAAGAACCTATGAAATTTCTCTCATTCTCTATAACATATCATCCCATACCCCTTCACTCTCTCGTATCTTTTTCTTATTGTTGTAGGGTACCAAATATATCCCTGTAAGTTTTTTTTTGTAGTATTAACAAGGTATGAGTTTGAAAACATAAAATTACTTACATGATCTCATGAAAATTTTCAAAATCTCTTAAGGTTAATAAAATATCTTTCAATTATGAGCTCCACAAAATTTTCACCCAGCATTGCTGAGATAGTTTACGTGCTATTGGTTTAAAATTTCGAAAGAAATATTAGATTGAAGTTAAGAAACTATACAAAGCTCTAGTTCTTAGTTTCACACAAGTACAAGCCCATATGTGTATTTACCCTTCACATGATGAATGTAAACTTTTGATTAAGGCTTGTCATTAGAAGTTAAGTGCTTAGTGTATCGTAGAATAAATTTGATTTATAACTAAGAAATTTATCATCTTAAACTTAATGTTAATGTTAGAGGAATAATGGAAAACTTGATCAAGATCTCATTGTTCCATTATTCAGAGTTGTCATGAACCCTGATATACTTAGTCAGGGGAGATAAAAATATAATTTGATGGAAGGATTCTTATTGATAATCATGGGTTAGTTTGTTTAAGATATCTTGTATACTTGGAGTGGGTGTTTATACAGGGGGGCAATTTTAAATTGATCATAGCTAATAGAGGACTTTATACCTATCAAGGGCATCCTATGATTAATTACTCAATAGTCTTTTGGTTATTTGAAACTTACAAGATTTAAATGTAACTATAATTTAATAGTGCCCTTTTTGTGGAAAAATTGTCCAGTCAGAGATCCCTAATCATAATTATTTAACAGTGGTGTCATTTTATGGCTAAATTATCGTTCATAGGCATTGAAGGCCTATTGCGAACATAAAATCAAATTTCTTCACTAATTTTGCAAAACTATACTTTCATTCATAACAATATGATTTAAAGGTGATTTTTAAAAAGTATTGTATGGATATCTTTCATGAGTCAAGGCTTGTCAGCTCTAGTCTTGTAAGGAGGATCGAATTTGAAATGTGGGACTTACGACTAATTTGTGCTAAGCACATACTTATCTATTAGTGGTTTATCTTGAAAAAAAGAGGTTTGTTAATTTCTAAAATTATTGTAAACTTTTCAGAGTGATTGCATGCTTCTCAAGGTGATGATGTTATTATTCATATTTTTTTTATCCACTCACAATTCTCAAATATTTAAGTGTTTATCATATTCATCGAAGCATATGCAAACAAGTTTGATCTAAAAAACAAGTGTATACACATTAAAAAGTGATTGTAGGTTTTACATAGAATTACACGCACTTTGCAGTTAGAAGGGTTTAGGTTTATATTCATATTTAACCCGCCCTACTTTCTGATGTTCATATTTGGATTTTAACATGTTTATTATAACACACGGGGTTAAGATTGATCTTAAGGAGTTGATATATTGTGCACATTCTTTAATGCATTTGCAAAGTGCATCTGCACATTTTATGATACATTAGCACTGTACACTTCAATAATTTTTAGTATACTTACATTTACATGAAGCACATTCATACTTATACGATTTTCAGTGTCTTTACATAATATTCTAACATAATAATCAATATATTTGCATCTCTTTCTATTCTTTTCACAGTGGATTTACACATTTTGCAGTACATTTACAATATTAACTTGGAGAATATGTTGGCAAAATTGCTATAATTGATTTGTCCCATCATATATGCATTGTTGAAATAGCCATGCAACCAGTAACATGTAGAAGTACATTGCTTTCTCTCATTTAGATAGTCTTTATTCATGAGGTGAACAATTCATTCATAAGGTGTGTATTAGTTGCTTAATATCTGCATTGTTTAGGCAATTGTACAATCTTTGATGTGTAAGAGTTTGGATTATTATATTTTGTTTGAAAGCTATTCATGTGGATGCAATTGCTAGTGGTGTGTGGGAGTTTAATGTGGTAGTTTTTGGCATGAAAGTTTTTCCATAGAATGTGCACATAACTTTTCATGTTAGATTCATTGTTACTCTTATTTTGTCCACTTGTGTGCATCTTACGCTTTCTATTGTGAGTGTCTTGAGTTAGAATCTCTCATGTGCTTCAGTACTAACACGATTTATCTGTATGTGACTTGCATTTTACTTGGGTGGGCCTATAGGGAGTTTCACTTCTATCTATAAGTAGGAGTTCATTATTATTCATTTTTTCTCAAGTTTAGCTCATCGATCATATTTTTAAGAATTTTTAATTTTCAACACATTTTTTAATAGTATGAAGGGGGTTCTACGCTTACAAACGTGCTCTTAAGTTCATTAAATGTCCTCTTGCTTATTATTGAGTTCTCAAATTCATCACTAGTTCCCAGTTAGTTATATTTATTTTCAACTATTATCACACACTTTTAATTTTTTTTAATTTCCTTTTTTATTATTTGTAATTTGTACTCATTCATTTTATTCAAATTATCATTTTTTTGTGTGTATAGTCTAAAGTGTTTATTTATTTTATTCATTTTTTTAGTTTTAAACAAATTAGCTTTGCTATAAAATTTAGTTGTCTCCCAACATTTCCCTCGTGTAAGGGCATCATTTGTTGTGCTAAGCCTAGCTACCACACCAAGAAATGCATGATTGTTGCAGTTGTTAGACATTGTGATTGGGGATATCCCACTATAGAAAGATGTGTATGGGTCTTCGTGTGCATGTTCCAAGATTTACAATATTTCTCCATCAGGTTCGAACATCGTGTGCAAGTACTCTCTCCATGCTAATAAAGTGCATATCATGCTCCATCGCAAGCACACCTCCTATGAGTTTCCCCTACCATGATAGGAAAAATGCGTACAGGTTTCACTCATAACACCAAATGTATCATAATCAGGATTTTGAGAAGTTTTAATGTTAAATATTTTATACCTATGTGCCTGAGGCGATGATGATGAATGCACCATGAGTTAGCAAGGTGAAATCCGCAACTTTTTTCTTCCTTTATTTTAGTTCTTTTTTCTTCCTTTTTTTCTTTATTTCCCTTTTTTCTTTTTCTTTTTTTAGAGAGAAAGGGAGGGAATAAGATAGATAAAGAGAGGGAAATAAATAGAGAGAGAAAGACAGAAGAAATTAGAAAGAGAGAGAAAGAGAGGGAGAAATAGAGAGACAATGAGAGGGAGAGAAAGCGGGGGAAAGAGAATAAGAGATAGTGAGCTGGAGAAAATGAGTGATTCAGAAAGTCAGAGAGAGAAAAAAACAAGAATGTTGGGGAGAGATAAAAGAATGAGGGAGAAAGAGAATGAGAGAGGAGAAAAGGGGGGAAGAAGAGGTTAAGAGTGAGAAATAGAGGACAAGAGAGGAGATGAGGGAGAGAGAGATGGGGGGGGGGAAGGGTGGAAGAAGAGAGAAAGAGAGAAAGGAAGAAGAGGGACGAAGAAGAGAGAAAGAGAGAACGAAAGGAAGAAAGAGAGAGGAAGTGCATGTTGACAGTGGCAATGATAGCTAGGAAATGCAAGGCATTTGAACCGCAAGAGCAAGTGTGGAAGAATGGAGGGAGAGACTAATTGTGGGAGAGTGGGGGCATGGGCCAAGTGAGGGTAGATTTAGGATTTGTACTAATAAAGTGGATGATAGGCTTGAACAACATTTGGAAATACTGAGAGGTCGTAGTCACTATGAAAACTTCTTAACATGATCATTCACACTTCCTTGCTATGAGTTCGACCATTTATCTATAGAGATCTCACAGAATGGGAAACCACCATTAAGTTTAAATATAGGGAGTATAAATAACTATGAAGTGTCATTGACCAGGTGAGTTACAGCATGTGGGAAATCATGTACTCATCCGTTGTTCTTATCGAGCAAAGTGGATAGTCTAGACTATTGTGTCATTGACAATAGTAGTCCAATTGTCTTAAATGGCCTCAAGACTATTCTGTTGCGTAGCTTTCTAGCCTTAAGTGCAGATATGTCCTATTAGATTGATATATTTTATAGGCCCATAAGAAAACTTTTAAGAAGGATGGAATCTATGAAGCCATACATCCCTCAATGTTCATCT